AGGTAGGAAGACCCACTCACGTTGTAAATCGTTCAACAGAAGTTGTCTAGAAGTCCCAGATGCGCCATCCCAGCCGGCTCGTTGTCGTATATCCTCCGGCTCCGAGCACATGATTAGACTTTCAAGAGAGCGGAATGACTCAGTGCTCCCGAAACTTGCACGCAGCGTCGTGAGAGGCATACCTTGTGAGACTGTGAAGCACGTCGGTGTCCACACTATAGGGAGTCAATTCGTTTCTTAGAACCTGCAGCGCTGATTGGGTCTTCTTGGCTTCCAGGAGTTCCAAGTATTTCTGCCTGCTCATCAGAAGCCTCACATTCTGGGGAAGTAAAGGTGAGTGTTGGGTAGTCCACAAGTAATTGGAATCAAGTCAGACAAGGAAGCAGAATACGAACCATCATCTCATGTTCATCCATCATCCCCATTCTCGATAGCGCCGCCTCAGCCTTTCCCCAGTTACCCATCAATACATGATCCCGGAAGCTTCGTGCTTCTGAAGACTCCATGGTGTATCCTGACTCTGCTTCGAGTGTCGCCGCAGATTCCCTTTTTAGACAGACCATGAGAGTAACCTTTAGTCGCGAATGCGGTCCAAAGAAAGCTTTGCGAAACGCACATATACCCCACGTCTCTCAAGCCTTGCAACAGCAGCCTCACAAATTCTTCCCTATTGACACCCACATCCGCGTCTTCGTAAAGCAGATCTCCGGGCAAACTGACCCTCGCAATCGCTGATACGGGGCTTTTCCCGCGTTTGTGCACCCCATTGCTACTACCTCCGGCTACCCCGGACCCAATGCTAAATCCATTCGCCCCAAGGTGACTCTTTCCGTTCGAGTACACCCCGTTAGTCGAGCTTGAGCCAGAAACGTTATGGGCATTGTTGGTAGAGCCATCATTGAGCGGCATCCCCCTCATAGTGGAACCTGAGCCCGAGGGATCGGGGGACGTTAATAACGAGTTCGTCGGGTATTCTTGGGGTTGGTCTTCGGATTCTGTCAATCTCATGGCGTTGGTGGTCAAAGATCGTAGGAGTGCTGAGCTGGAGGTTGGGGTTGGAACTGGGTTGGGAACGGAAGTTGAAGTGGGGTGAGTAGTACTTGGGCTACCGATCCGTGGTCTCTTGCGAGCTCTTGGACTGTCGACGTCTGGCAGACATAGTGAAGAGAAACGAGGTAAGTCAGAAGATGTAACCAGATGGTAACTACAAACAGAATATATTGGTATGCTCACCGACGTTGCTACTCTCGTCGAGCTCTAGCTCTTCTCTGGTACGGGTCGCAGGAATAAGACTCGATGCGGATGGTCGATACTCTGATGTATTCGTATTCAAGGGGTTCGCTGGTGGTTCCAGAGCTTGTGAATGAGGATGACGAGGTGGAGAGCCTCGCGCAGAATTTGTGTGAGTAATGGGATCAATGGTGACGATTTCAGTTATTAGAAACGAGCAAAGAGGTCAGGGCGAGGCGAGAGCAATTCGGAAAGAGTTGCTCAGGACTGGCTCAGAGCATTCGACAGCGAAAAAAGACAAGGAAAATGGTAAGGGTGTGTAACAAGGCTTATAGTCACTCTACAGGGTCATGCTTGCCTGCCTGCCACCAGCGTCAATGCCGCGTTCCTTTCAAACTCTCGCGTGTTCGACTTTTCACACGCCCTCTCAAGATTGTACATCCAACATCAATGTGCTTTTGTTTTCTCCTTGACACAACTCCCTTCTCCGACGTCTCTGGAAACCACTCGCACAAAAAATAACAACAAAAGCAGAAATTATACTAAGTATCTGGCAGCCCCTCGTCTATCGAGCTGCCTCGAGGAGCCCGAGGTATTCAAATTTCAACACTGCAACGGATTATCATCCGAGGATCTTTCCTCGTGCTCTTCTATATCTGGCTTCTTGGAGTAGTCTGCGTCAGTGTGAAAGACGTCCAGATGTGTTATCTTTGACGCACGCGCTTTTCGTGCCGCCACCAGGCCTAAACCTGCTCTCAACGTCCTTCTGCCTCCTTTCTGGTGCAGGCATTCAATTCATGATTGATTGCGACATCTGATGACGTTTCTCGAAAGCTCCTTCTAGCGAATTCGACTTGACAGCCAGCAATCTGATTATAAAAGATCGTTCACAGCCTGAACCTCGCCGCAGCGAAACTTCTGTGCACGGAACGGGAGCCCACGCGATAACAGCTCTCAAACCCAAACACAAGTCGAGCTCACGGTACGAAGACGGCTATACTGACTGCTGGTGACGAGCCATGCTAACGTTGATTCGGTTGGGTGATAGTCATTCGGTCGATCGTTCATAACCTCGTTATCGCTCGCTCTGAACTTATGGCTCGGCTCGGCGTACTCTTGATGTTCCTCTATCGCGAGGTGTCTCAAGAGTATCTATTGCGAGGTAAAATCAAGTTTACTTCTTGGCCGCAACAGATATCCTGTCCCCAATCTTTCGTCAGGCTGACCCGATTGCCGGATCTACGAATACAAGGAGCCACAAAGGTCCTGTCGGATGGCCTGGTGCTTACTGTATCTCCGACACGGAATTGGCCAGTGGCAATTCGGCCTCCGTCTCACCATCCACAGCTCCCCTACTTACCCGCAGAGCAAACTTGAGCCATGAATCCTCATCGCTCTCCCGCAGGTTGGACGCATACGACGTTTGAGCTGGAGAAGCGGATTCTCGATCACACCGACCAGTTTACGACCTCGTGAAACAAAGGTCTATTGTCACTGAAAATCAAGCACGAAAGTATGCCTGCATGTCGTCGATCCCTTGGGCATTGTCCCCACCTCGAGGATACCGATGCCTACGGCCTCTAACGGGCTTGTTAGTAGGAGCCGACTTTGAATCTTGCACCCTTCCTCGGAATTGAGTCGACGACTTTCGCCTCCAGCCGACTATGCGTAAAAATAGGCCGAGTCCCACTTAGACCCAGGCAGCCACATCACAGCGTGCGTACGGTACGTACCTACCATGCAATTCTTTCGTCGAATGCCACACTGAAGACACGTTTCTACCCGGAAGCGTTGCTTGTATGCTTGTATGTACGATGGATGATTGATTCCCATCTACATACATATGCAGGACCTGTTTATTGTATGGTAAGCATGGGTATACGAAACAAAGAAAAGAGTGTTCATTTTACGTTTTGCTGACAGAGAACGTAAATTAGGAAGACCCCCTTGCCGGCTTCCCTAGCTCCCCCTCTCCTACACAAGTACCGAGTATATTAACAAAATATTGGGTGTACAAATGAGCCAAACGAAGCGACCGTTGGCAGGGCAACGGTTAACAGACGGGGACCTATAAGCACCCTCATATTCAAGGGAGGGAACAACGAACACAGAGGGCGAGGCCTCGGAATGGTCCGTTTGTTTTTCCTTTCTCGCTTCTCACGTAATCCAACGACTCCAAAACATGTTGTGATACTGTAGGAAGCAAGCGACTCTAAATCTACCGGTCACGGCCCCAACTTCACGTTGACGCTCAGAAAGCCAAGAAACAATAGATGTCACCAATGTGATCCTAGTGAGTAGTTGGACTGTCCGTTTGCTCTTTATACTTCTCACTCACTCACAGGACACATCCAATGACGCTATGGCCAATGAAGCACCGACAAGCATCGTGATTCGTACATAGCCTAGTTGGGCGTTCATTTCTAACATTTCTAGAATCTAACCCCTCTTATTCACATCGTCACATTCAAGTGTGGCTAATGGGGACCTACGAGCACCCTCCTTTGGAGAAATGACACGCCTGCAGGCCTCTGCAAGCGCCAACGTCATGGCCTGAGGTATATTGCAATGTGCTTCCTGGCTGGATGGCAAAGGTTCCTAAAATCTCTTTGTTCCTAAGGAAACCCTGAATAGCGAAAATTACCTCGAGACTTTCATCCGAAACAGTCCTCCTGGCGTCCCGCCGCGTCGGATTTGGAACGGGATGGTCGTGGCTCGGGATCGGATGACAGGTATTACGAGCAAGGGTGCCCATTATGCCGATACCCGTGACGCTGAATCAATCATGACCTCGTTCTCCGGCATGGAACCTACCGTAGAAGAATCTGGATCACAGTTTCGACGAAGTTCAACGTAGGGTTCACTCTCAATGTTCATTCCAAGCGATCTATCACCTCTTCCAGAACAATTTCAGTACTCCACTCATGGTCGGGAATTAGAGTGCTTCGCGTCCAGCTTGAGTTCGCCGGGTTGCCCATGCGGTCGGTGATGAACTCTTCAATTGAGGCCATTTCTCAACGCGTCGGGGATATTTGGAGCGGTCCTTGGATTCCACTGCCACCCGCGGGTCGTGATCATAGAATACCACCAAGGAACGAGCTCGTCCCGTATGGTCTCTTGGCTATTAGGCCAGTCACATAACTCGAATGCTCTTATTTCGATGGCAACCTTCGTGGTTACCAGGACATTGTTTAATACTTCAAATACAACCTATCGAGTGGGCTATCAAATGTTCGATCCTGACCCCATACCTTGCCAGAATTAACGTGAACATTCTCGACTGCGCCGAGCACTGAGCCACGGTGAGCTGCGACAGGTTCTCTTTTGTTCCCAACAATAGGGTCTCAGTTCCGCTTCGTAGCATTCGCTGTGAAACAACTGCGACCCGCGGACCCAGTCATTTACCACTCCCGCCCGCGCAGTCCCGAGCACTGTCGGTTCATCTGCCGGGGTGAGCACTCTGAAACGACTGCGACGTTCAACTTCAACTCTCTTCTCTTCCCTGAAACAGCTGGTTACGCTGTCGGTGGCAATAACGGTGGTGATGGCAATCCACCGCGGAACGCAGACTCCAGATCGATCGTACGTGGCTTTGGCACCAAGCTTGAGCTACCCCCTTGCTTTTCTGTCACACATTTGTGTTACCTTTCAGCACAGGGTGCTTCAGCCAACTCTCTTGGAGGGTACTAGTCCTTGGTTTCGGTGTGGTCCTTGATGCAATCAACTGCGGTAAGACGAAGATGATGTTATCATGTGCACATTTTGATGAATCCCTCTTAGCTCAGTGGTAGAGCGCTTCACTAGTATCACCTGATGTTGTGGTTATGAAGAGGTCAGTCGTTCAAGTCGGCTAGAGGGAATTCGCGATTGCAGCATATTTTGTTCTAGATTTGTCTTGACCCCTACCCTTCTCAGCAAGTTGGGATTGATCAGGTTTTTTTACACCTCATCGCTCAAGCCTGCTTCAATCACAACATACCACCACTTTGCTACCGTCTATTTACCCTTACCCCCGTCGCCGAGCCCAGGAAATAATAACCACGATCGATTCGATTGCTTCCCCAGCCACCCCGAAATCGACACGATCGGTCACTATCACGCCGTCCGAAAGCCTACGCTCAGCATTGTCAGCACTTCCTTGTCACCACTGAATGGCACACGGGAATATTTCTTCCGGGGATCCCCCTTCCTCTATGGTTCCTGGTCCCTCCTTTCTTCCCAGACTCCTATTCCGGCTGGCATTGGCAAGCACGACATCATGGGTCAACAATCGAATTATCTCCTCCCATGGAAGCTATTCGCTTTCATTGGGGCGGAGCCAGAACGATGAAACTGTTGTTGAAGGTCACATTACGAGGCATTGGGGACTCGATGCTGAATGTGGTGGCTGAGTGGGGAATTTCGGGCTTCGACGCCATCGATTCAAGCTGAAACTCAAGTTCGACATCGATATCAGCGACAGACCGCTCCCCACCATGCTTTCTCCTGTTCTTTGTGGAGCCTTCTGTCACAAATCTTCTCATTCACGACGTCCCAAGTCCTCGACATTGGACAAACGTTTCATCAATGTACATTCGTTTGCACGCACGCACATATGTATGTGTTCATTTGGGGCTGGGAAATTCGCGCAATCGTCTTGGCCATCACTGGTATTAGACGAGCTTTCGTAGCCGACGACGTCGGCGCTGACGTTCCCCGTGGAGACTCGGTGCATGGAAGTGCATGGATAGTATACGGTGAGATGTCGAGTGAATTCAACCGAATAAACGTGCCTTCCAGGTGTCTGCTTCCAATATCCAATACCCACCCTCCTGCTCTAGACTCACCACCTAATTCCATCGCGATTTCTCCGGAGCGCGATTTTGAGCTATTGATCACCTCCCGGCAATCTCGTGCAGCAGTTCAGCCACTGACGGCGTGAATGTCGTGGTACAGGACGATCTAATAGCCGTGGGCTGTGGTTGCAGATCCGATAATTCCGCTGGGCGTGTGTAGACATGGTTCATTCGATCAAAGCTGTCTTTCCGTAGGCTGTAGGTTCATGTTGGGTTCATGATGGATCTGCATCGCTGTCACCCTGGAATCCCATACTATCCTCTTTACTGAAGATTATTGTGCGCTCTCGCTGGCCGAGCTCGACTTCCAGTCCCGCCGACATACAGGAATTTCGATGTTACTGATAGATGAGTGTCAGTTGTCCATCATGGGATGTAATGCGCTGGAAAATGAATAGGTTGTGAGTTGAACCACTTACTGGTTGAATCTTCCTAGCAACTTGCTAGGCGGCTTGATGAAGCCGTCATGCAGGGCAGGTCCCTCTGGAGTTATCCTGTATGAATTCTCGAGTCGGGGAACACGGCGAATCAGTGATTGGGTCACCGCCCAAATTTCAGTCCTCAATTTCAGTCCTCCGACGCGCTATAGACGACTCGGGAATAATGACGCGTCAATGTTTCAACCTCACCGAGTACGGGGTCGAAAGCCCGCAACACATGAAATAGGGTCTACTCACCACAGCCGTCTCCAGTGCCCAGACAGAGTAGGTAGACTGGGACCGGATGCGTCTCTTGTCAACAAGGTCCCTGGTTCCCCTTCCCCACAGGGCCCCTAGCTCAGGGACAACTTGATATGTATAATGTTATCCTTGGCCAAGTGCCTACAGTAAACATCAAGCAGTCCCTTTCGGTGCCCCTCTCGTATGTAGCGTAGCGGGACGCGACTTCGTCCGCCGGTCACTGGACCCAGTAGACCAGAAATTAAATATTGGACTTCGTAATTCCGCCACTGACATAGAGGAGTGAATTTAGGTTTGATTAGTCGTCGAAAAATCACGATGCATGATGCAGTGAGCAATCACTCTGCTCACGATCGCCACGTACGAGAGCAACCGGAGGGCTCGATGAAGTCATGTGGTATGTCTTCTGTTCATTTCCTCATTTTCTCAGTTCTGGCGAGCTCTCTGTGTTGGGCGACACGGGACGCGGGAGGGGGCTAGGACTACCTTCCATTGCCTGTAGTGATGGTCCGCGATAGCGGCGGGCTATACTGGATCCCGCCGGGCTCGGTAGGCCATCGATTTTGTCCTTGATTCGCTGCAAGTTTCCCAGCCTCTAGTACTGGACGAGAAATATATTTCGTCAAGGCAACAACGCTACGAAAGTCTTAGTCTAGGCAAAGAACGGAAGGGACCGAAGGACTCATGCGTGCACCTTCCCCGCATTCATACAGCCACAGCCCAGCTGACGGTCTTATTCATGTGGTTGATGAAGAAACCACTTGGGGACGGGATTGAGGCCGAGATTCATGTTATTTACCAGAGAGGCGTTGCGAACTGCTCACATGCTACCACCGCCAGTACTATGTAGTACCCCCCTTCAATTCTGTAACTCGAACTTGCCAAAAGCGAGTCCCGTTGTCCCATATTCACCCCTGTATCTATAGAGAATCATAACTGTTCAATCTGTCTGTCCCCTGACAAGATCCCCCAAAAACTTCGAGCTCGGCCAAGTAGCAAGCTCCGCTTGTTCCGTGCTATTTGTCGGGCCACGAGTTGAAAATTTGAACATATTTGACTCCACAACATCTGGGATGACGCGCCCACATACGTCATCAAACGCTCGAGTCTCGAATCTTCCTTCGGCTTCCAAATATGGTAGTTATCAGTCATGTGAGCGTGTACCTGATGTGAGCCTGCGTCTCATCAGATGCGTGTGGCTTGCAACTCAAAACTCTTGTTAGTGAGAACCCACTAGTACACGGGCTGATCGCCGCCCCTCTGGGAACTGAAAACGTGACGTTCCCTGAGCTGGGAGGGGACAAAATTGCAAATTTCAAGTTCTTCAATGGGTGCCCCTCAACGTTCAACGTCGTCGACGTCCTCTTCACCTTTCTTCCAAAACGGCCGTCAACCTGATCTTCCGAGAAGGGGGCTCAAACGTTCAATCGACGTCGGCGAAATTTGAGTAGCCAACGTCATCCCGAATCTATCCATCATCGCGAGTCGCGACCTCAGCTACCATATGGGTCGTCCGACGTCGTAAAAGGTGGAGCAACATACGACGAAAATCACGTCCAGTAAAGGGTATGTTCCTGCGTCATCGTCGCAACAGAAATGTCATGGTGATTTGTTCGTTGCCGAGGTAGAGGGACGGGGAGGGGGTACTACGGCGAGCGTCATCACCATTGCAACGGAGTGGAGTCCGGCTTTTTGCTTGGACTCGCTGGAAAAAAACAAATGACGGTAACTCATACACGCCCATACGTAGGTGGCAAGCTAACTTTTGCGTATTTCCGCACTTCATTGGGTGGTCGCTGCTAACTGGTTTTTTCATATCATTCCCGTGGCCGTTGGGAGCAACACCTGGCTCCTCTGACTGGAACGGGGTCGGACGAGCTAGCGTCATTGGGACCGCGAAATTTGCGATTTTACGCAAGTACGCAATAAGTTTATTCACTGCCTGTGCAACTTCCCTCCGAGAGGCTCGAGAATTTTCTCATCATTGGTGCACAGGAACTGGTTGAGTAGACGGGTAGTGAAAATAGGCGGAAATATGTGCCAGCTGGCAGCCAGTGCACGACGAGGCTTTTCAATTCTGAAGTGAGCGTTAACGTCAACGAGGGGTCCGCGGGAAGCGACTTTATTGAACTTATGGCGGGATGCGGCGATATGAGAATGATTCTGGGAGGATGGGAGTGTTGGGCAAGGTCACTACGTACTTGCGAAGACAGAACTGCGTCTACTACTGTAAAAACTCTTCCCATTTCCATGTTCTCTAGATTTTGATCGTCAAAGATATATATTTGCAGAACGAGAATTGATGACGAGGTCCCCCTTAGCTCAGTGGTAGAGCGCTTCACTAGTATTGTCGGCACCGATGTCGGGACATGAAGAGGTCAGTCGTTCAAGTCGGCTAGGGGGAATTATGTTTTGTGCAAATCGGTCACTTTTTCTCTCTCTCTATCGCTTCGTGTATTGAACATCTCAGTAACCCATTCGACTACTTCCTACTTGTTACACTTGTGCCTCCTCTCGCCGACATCTTCCATGATCCAATATTTTTAAAAGGTCAAGTCTCTCACACCACGAACGTGGACTCGGGATGAGAAAGGTCACCAGGACCTTCCCACCCACCCACCTGCACAGTTAAGCCCCCCAAAATCAAATTTGATTTCGAGTTAATGACCTCGTAATGACCTCGTCTGACTCGAAGGGTTCGCAGGTGCGCGAAAATGGCGCGCAGTGGCACGATGAAGAAAGACCCCCTCGGCGAATGGCACAGTTTTGGTGGTGATGGGGAATGGAAATTGGCAAGCTTAACGGAGGTCCGAGGGTGATATTAGACCATAGACGATGTTTATGACAGGAGATGACTCGAATATTGATTCTGGGCCCCCTCTAGGTTATGGAGGGTGCACCCCAAGCGACACCAAGGACGTATGTTGTGATTGGGACGGAAGGCCGAAATAATCCGACATCGGCAATCGGGAATACGGGTATGTTGGCTGAAGAATGGTTCTTTTGACGCGACTTGTACCTAAGAGGTACCATAGAGCCCCTTGGGTCTTGCAATAACGGGTGATATGGTTCTCTTATGTTGTATGTATACGCCTAGGGGTGGCCGTGTTCTCACGGAACGTACAACCTCAAGTAACAAATTTGGAGAAGGTACATACGTGGAGTCAAAAGTACGCGACGGGTAGGGTACCCCAGCCGTGAACTTCTTCCTGTGACCTTTGTAAACGGGAGGGTACCCGTTTGTTCGCGGGAAAACGCGTAGAACAAAAATCAAAAGTCACTCTATGGCAAGAAAATACCCGAACCTTCCGAGTGTGAATGGAATTTTATGATTTTCGTACGCGATTATTCTAGTCGATTGACAGGAATCCATGACAGGGCGATTAACCGAGTGAAAATGCTATCTTGTGGCGTCATAGCTCGCTATTCGTACTCATTCTTCTTGTCGCTTGCGAGGGGTAAGTACACAGAGTGCGGGTGTGAAGAATGTGAACTGTGAACTGTGAAGAGTGGTGTGTACCCGGGGACCAAGTGGCCGAGGTCGACAGGACACGTTTTTCAGCGAGCGGGTCTAGAATTTGCGGTGGGAATGCTCTCCGGACGGTAGCAACGCCCGGAGAAGAAGGAGTTGCCGGCGGTGTGCGATGACGAGTTTGCTGACACACGTTCTGCGTGAAAAGTTCAAGGGGGGGGTACTTCGATCCCAGATCCAGATCTTGGCCCAAACTGACTCGAGCTCAGCGGCTGTGACGTGACTACCAAAAGGGTAGTTTATTTATTTCTTTCTCTGAAATCCGTTTTTCTTTTATAAAACCAAAGAGGGACCCTGTGCCGCCAACTCTCGATCCTCCCACCAGACGCTTTGCGAAAAACTTTCAAGAATGTTCGAAGAGCGATGCATATTCTGCGGTCGACATTTGCTCGACGATTCCTCACAGGCTGCCTTCTGCAGCGACGAGTGTGCAGCAGCTGACTCGGCCACAACGTCCTCGACATCCTCTGCACTCTCTTCCCCGCACTTTCGCCCAGCAGACAACGACGTTCACGACGTTCCACCTCTCATTCCGTCGTCTATCTCATCCTCACTGCGGCCCTCGAGAGCCGCACGCTATTCATACAGCGCTTCCTCATCGTCGGCCTCTGAGCTGCTCACCGACGAAGACGACGACGACGAAGAACATACCTCACCATACGTAGTCGGCGCAGACCACAATCCTCTTTCATACGCCCGTCGTCCAGCGTCAACAAACAATCATCACCACCCACAAAAGGCCTCAGCTCCTAGCCGAAGCGCACCTATATATTACCACTTTGATTCCGACGACGAAGACAGCCAACCCAAGACGGCAACAGCGAAACTAGCACGACGATCACGCAATCGTGCCAGTCTGCCAGCATACTTTTCATTGTTGGCCTTGCCCAGCGCCCCCTCGATGTCGACTTCCGGCGCGACGACAACCACGACTACTGCAACGGCGTCAGGGACGTTGACCATGTCCACGTCCTCGTCTACACTCGTCAAGCCCTCTCCTCCGACGCCTAAGCTATCTTTGGCGTCCTTGCACGCGGGTGGAGGCACGCCAGGTCCTCGCGGCCGAAAGCGTACGACAACCGCTATGACCGCCACAACTAGTCGGTTCACTGAGCACTTGAACGACTATTATCCCTCGTCTTCTTCGCCCTCCCCTGTGCCTTCTCTGTCTCCGTCGCCTTCTCGTTCGCCTTCTCCCTCACGCTCACGTTCACGCTCACGGGGTCGCCCACCAGTTCGGAGGAACTCGTCTCCGCCACCTAGAATGGATCGAGATGGCGTGGTCAGGGAAAGGGAAAATGGTCATAGGAGATCGAGTACACGGGGTCGAGTTCGCGTGGAAGAGTTGGAAGGAATAGGCGGTGGGACTATGGCTCCTGGATTTGGAAATGGGAGGAGTGGATTGGTGGATAGGGCAAGGAGGTAATCAAGCCCTGGGAATCTCTTACAACTTTTCTTCTATTCTTCGACCTCAGCATTGCATTCTCATTTCAACATCAATGACCATGACCAACAACTGTAAATTATTCCGCCAACGCCAACACCAACGCCAACTTTCCAAAATGTCGTCCAACCGACTACTTCCGGATTTTCCTCACCATGTTTTATTATTTCCCCCTAGAGTTTTTCTTTCCTGGTTCTTCTATCATCTCGTCATTCAACTGCACCCCTACTCGCTCCTCGATATTTTTTGGGCTTTTCTTCAATCGATATGCATTGATACCTTCCTCTCATACCACACATCCCGCATACCATACACTACAACATCCTCTCTCCGCATGCATGTCCCACCCGTCTCTCTCTACCCTTCTTACCCAGATCTCCCGCATACCAAAAAGTTACCGCTACCCCCTCCACAAGTTATGTTTTACCTCTATCCTCTAACCCCCCTACCCCGTATCTCGTATCCCGTTTGTCGTCGTCAATGCTATCATCGTCATCCCTCACACCTCACACCTCACACATAGCCATAAAATCTCCCTCCATTTGCATCATGTTTATTATACGTACACGCACACATCCACAGATATCACATCAAAACCGAACCACCCGAAACCGATATACCGATACCATAGCATCGCCGTTTTATGCAGTACTCTACAAAGAAACAAAAGGGAATAGGAAGGAATGATAAAAAGTTTTTTTTGGAAGATGTACTATTGCTCTCAGATTGCTCTACTGTGTGATCAGTCGCCATTGAGGAATGAAATTGTTGGGCGCTCAGAGGGGAAGGCGTGATTTCGACGTTATTTTTCGCGTTTTGATCATGTACTGTACTACTTAAGTAGTAGGCGGTGACAAAGGTTTCGGGAGTCTCAGTAATGGGTTGTTGGTAAGTAAGACGCCAAGCAGGCCGGTGAGGATGGTATTTGGAAAGGGGAACGGAGACGGAGACGGGAGGATGGGGAATTCGAGGATTCCAATGGTGATGTCTTTGCTTCACTGCAATTCACTCGAGGTATGTACTGTAAGCAGATATTGCTATAGCTAGACGAACTTCCGGTAGTATGTTTGCCACTTGACCTTGAAACGAAAAATGGTAGCACACGTACTTGTTTTTGATTCCCTCTAGCCGACTTGAACGACTGACCTCTTCATAGTAAGTATAGAGGAAGAAGCCTTTATACTAGTGAAGCGCTCTACCACTGAGCTAAGAGGGAGTTGTTGGTTTCGATTCCATGACGTACATCTCAGCTACGACCCGGTAGTCTTCTCACTTCGACAACATCAGTGCCCTCTACCACCTACCACCAGCGAGATATACCGTACCTCCGATGCGCTCAGAGGGGAGCAAATCCGAAATTGCAGGAGCACAGCACCTGGTCAACTGCCAGCATCGTCGGACTCGGACGAAAAATCAATTGGGTTTGGGCAAGGTACCGTAAGGCACCGCGCCGCTCACTCTTTTTTTCTCGTTCAATCGACCCGTTTGATATGGAGCCGTCCGACTGTCTGGCATCGGTGGGCGGATGTCGGAGGAGAAAGTGTGCAGTACACGACGGTCCCTGGAAGATACGTTCCGCTGAAAGTGGGATCTTGAGACTAATTGACCGGTAGTAGAGAAGCTGAGGGTTGCTGCCCCCCATGGACATACAATGACATTGGATCGTACTAGGTTGTCGTGGATGTACGCTTGGCTCTTGTAATACTACTTACTAGACTACCGTATCCTTATATCATTATTAGCACAATAAGGTAAGTACGTACTTGATAATATATTGATTGACTCTCACGACGGAGCCCATAGCCATAGAACAATAACATCCCAGGTTCCTTAAGTTATAATTGAAAGACTCCATACCAAGCCCAGGGATAATTGCGAACAATGCGCTGAATCCCGACGCAGGACGGAGGCAAGGAGGATCCTAATGTCTAAGGTGACAGGAGGAATGCCGCGAACACCGTTGGGACGCGAAGTACAACGGTTAGACCGCGGACAGTCGCCTCAACCATCCTACCGCTGTCCTGTAAATTTGGGAACTTGGGATATTGAAGATGCTTGGTGAGAGTAGGCTTGTAGTGGCTCAACCGCTGAATTGGGCACGCGACCACGACCACGATATCTTCATAAATGTGGCGTGCCGCGCCACCAGCGTTAGTGCTATACTGCAAATACATGTCCATGTCATCTTTCTAAGTACTTAGTACAGATAGCAACCACAATACAGAGGAGATAACATGGCCTACAATAATCAGAGGGTAAATATCGACCCGTAACTCGGAAGTTCATCGATCTGCGACGGTAGCGAAGAAAACCTTTATAGAAACGCTGTATCGGCACCGCAGAATGGAAGAAGCTCTTCAAGACTAGGGCCAAGTTTATCTTCGACCACTATTCATGAAGATCTAGCAACCGGACGAGGGCCTTAGGGA